CGAACATACTGTCATATAAGTACCGTGCGCTAACCGATTGCGCCACTGGACCCGCACGGCGTACCCTCGCGAAACAAAGTGCTTTGAACTTAAATCGGTTTTCCGACGCAAATTGCACATTTCGTTGATGAAAAGAACAATAATGATTGTTAATCACGGAATTATATAATAATATAAAATATATTAGCATATTATTATCACCAGCGTTACCTCATAGTGGAATTTTAGACAAGTTATTTTTATATTTTTATAATATTTTAAAACATAGAAAATCATTTGCTACACAAAATGTAGTTTGTTGTAGTTGCAGTTCATATAATTTTTGATTCCGGACAAAAGTAATGTTAAAAATATGTTAATGTCATACATGTTCCGCTGCATGTTTTCTCAATTTTCGTCCAGTCAACGTAACGTCGTTACGTTAATCAGTATAGACGGGTTCAGTTAGCATACGGTACTTATGTCACAGTATACTATCGTGAACTAAGTATGCAGAAGTTGTGAGATCGAGCCTCGTCTAGTCCACAGAATTTTTCAAATGATTTTTTTACTGTAGTCTAGATGACGGGCAGTAGCTTCTCCTAAGATTTCGTTTGGTCAATTTCGTTTTTTTTCTAGTTTCATACGTTCAAAGAGAACTCGGAGTCGACGGATACCTATTGATTGTGTTACACACCTTTTTTTTTTTTTTTTAACATTTTCTGGGTTGGGTATAGTATTATGCATAGTGCGCAGTTACGAGCGTCAAGAAAACGCCACACCCGCTTGTGTTGCATTCGTCTAACAAACGTATAATATGGTAAATATATGTTTAGTTGAACCAATGTTATGTTGTTAGTTTTAATATCACAGTAAAATGCCTATAATCAAACTTATAGAAGTATAATAACATATAGTAATACATCCACTATTGACATATAAAAAATAATAACTTTAGCCAAACAAACATTCATAAAAAAAAACAGTCTATTAACTAGCAAACACCTTAATGAAACAAAGAAAAAAATTCATTAAAACATTTGTGTGGTGTGTGTTACTATATGGATGTGAAACTTGGACTATCAGGAAGAATGAAAAGGACCGTTTAGAAGCAATGGAAATATGGATTTGGAGAAAAATGAACAAAACAACATGGGTTGAAAGGAAAACAAATGAGCAAGTGTTAAAAGATGTAAGCGAAAAAAGGAATATAATAAAATACATATTAAAAAGGAAAACGAAATTAATAGGGTACCTATTGAGACATAACACATTTATGAAAAATATCTTTGAAGGGAAGATCTTGGGGAAAAGATCTAGAGGATGCCCAAGAACATAATATTTCCAAGACCCCAAACATCTCATGGAGGTCACAACATATTCATAATTGAAAAACATGGCAAAAGACAGAGACCTATGGTTATCACGACAAGGTAAGGCCTTTAGATGATGATGATGAGGAGATAACTGTCCCTTAGCGATGATATAAGTTTTATTTTTTTAACTTTTAAGCAAGTTATGAGGGCTTCTGAATTCTAATATTTTACATAATCATAACTCGTTAAAAATTTAAATATTATATAAAACCTATGTTGTCGCATAGAAAATGTTTTTCCTCTTAAATTTGATAATAGGTCAGTTTACTTTAATGTTTAAGGTAATAACCCAAATTTGATTCTAATGAATTATATTTACTGAATTTGCTATGTTGTACATTCGTAAAGCGGGAACACATGAGTTGTGTCCCGTAGAAAAGGTATATAAAAATTGCGTTCCGGGTATTTAAATCAGGTTTTCTTAAATAATTAATTTAATAAATATAACTTTGTTAAAGATGTACCAAACATTATTAACATAAGGTTATGATATAAACTATTACGCTATGCCTAATATCCTAATCAAATATTCTATTCAGTTTGGAAAATTTAGAACCGTTCGAAACTAAATATTACACATATGTATAATCGATATATATTTTATTATTTATATCAACAACATGCTTCTTACTGCTAATCAACCAAGAATCGGGAATAAAATTATAATTTACTTATAATATTAAGTGATATATCTCAAAACACGGAGAACACCAGGAACCCGAAAAAAAATTATACTACCTGATCGAATTAGTTGAACGCAATTTGTGTTTACGTTTACTGTGTAGAGCAGATACAACATAAGTGGACATGGCGTCCTTTTGACAGATTATGGAATAAAAATCTAAAAGTAACGGATTATACTTATTATGATTTGTATTAATCAGTCGATGTAGTAACTAAAGGAAAATAATAGTAGTATAAAAATATTGAATTTTTAATTTTTTAAATAATGTAATAAAAGGGACGTAATAAGGTAAATGTTATTATCATCAAAACTTACTTAAAATATAATGAAAATTAAATTAAGTATTAATTGTCTACTATACAAGATCAATATGCGTACGACTCATACAACAATAGTTTATAATTATTTAATTAATTAAAACGTATACTTCTTATAAGCTTATAAATTGATAAGGTGGATTAAGATATTGGTAATCTAAAATCTAAATTACCGATTAAAATAGATTAATATACATGACATAGCTGAACATCGATTTGAAAAGAAATAAAGACAGTTGGAGAAATATGAAGACCGGGTGAAAGGGAAAATAAATCAATGGGCTATAATATATTATACAATAACATTATGGGAAACAGGAAACAAAAACCAAATGACTATCAATCACGATAGACAGTTTTTAGGTGATGAAACTTTAATAACTGCCAATCGACGAATGTTATAATATACCGGTTATAGCATTTTAATTGTCATTAAATGTATAATCGAATGAAGTTGCACCCCCTTTGTAACGTTCCTCAATATATTCATCAGTTTCCTGGTAGTCAATACTGATTTTTTTACTTTTATTGTATCCATTTTCAAATGAATGTAATTTGTTTATAGTTTTTCGAATAAATACATTAATTTTTAATACTATTACTTACTTTTGTTTTGTAAAACTATCATTAAGCCGCATAATAACAGACCAATTTATCATTATTACTATTATAACATTAATTTATTTTCTTTTAAGGACGTTTTAAATCTATGATTATTATCATTCGTTTTTAAAGTTATGTTAACCGAATATTATGGTTACATAACTCAAATAATCGTATTATAAGTATTATATAATTTACTGACATAATTTATCTCTAGAATTAAGCATATTGGTTTTCAACGAGTAATTTACAGATAATAACATTTGACTGTTTCAAAATAATTTTAGTATTTAAGTGTAATATCGAATAATTTTTCCAAGGAACAATAATATAATATTAAAGTAATACTATTGTATTATAATAGTTAGATACATTTGTATACATGTATTTAACCAATATTTTAAATAAAAAAATCAAACAGAACTACCTAGTAGTAAATTTAATAAAAATAAATATTCAAATAATTAGTTTTACCTAAAAAGTTATAATTATTTTACTTAATTTCCAATAAATCATTTATAATTTATAGAATTAATAGGAATTTTAGTGATTAATATTAAACTGTAAAATATAAGAAAGTCAAATGATATTTGAATGAATTGTTTGAAAGATTAGAGATTTATATAATACCTATTACACATTCTATGTGCTACAAGTACTCGTAATTTTTGAGTTATCACATTTTTGAATATTATATTATATTAAATGATTGATTTAACCACGAAAGGTATCCGAAAGCAATGTGCATAATATACATCCTATAATATTATATATAATGTATAATAATATATAATGTTATATGATAACAGATATAGTTCATTGATTTTTCCCGTTTTTAGGATATTTTATCAGTTAACTATTTAATTGGTATACTTGAAATTTTAGATTTAATTATAACTTCTATTTTTATAATTTTTTGATACATTGTTCATTAGTGTTTCATGTAGAATTTTGATATTTTTAAAACATCAATTTAGTATTTAAACTTTTTTTTATGATAATCGGCATTACGTCCGCTACCTGGAATCAGTGTTAGGTATTATTTCAAGTGGCGGATAATACTTTAGCCTAAAGATACATCTTCAAAATATTTTCATCAAATATTTATTGAAAAGTATTATATAGCAATAAGTATTACGCTATAAAGGTTGGCGTGTATAAATAAGTTAATAGAAATGAATAATGTAACGTATATAATGTACGTTGTGAGTATATTACATATTTTATAAAATTTAAGGTAAACTATAAATATTAAACCAATGTTTTTATAAATATTTTTTAATAATTCAGTGTACTTCATAACCCAATATCATTATTTTTTTTTTTTTTAAAGAATGAATTAACAATACACAATCAAGAGAAATAGAAAATTTCAAAATAATTAGTTGATTTATATTATTGATGTACGTATGATAATATTATTAAATAATTATTAACAATTGATAGTAAACATATATAATATGATATCAGATATCTAATAGATCTTATAGCAGAAACTAGGACAAATTCTTTCTGAAACTCTTTCTTGATGAGTTCTAAACCCCTCAGAAATTATAAATATTATTTGTGCATTGTACACATGCTATAAGGATTTTAAGAGAAAGATTTAGATTTATCATGAGTTAAAGATCGAATTTCCAATGCTTATTAATTTATTTTGTAAAAATTTAGCATCTCAAATGGTTCATTTTTTTTTCAAGAAAGTTAAAAGTATAAAATTAGTTTAAAATTCATTATGTTGTAGGTGCAACTTAATAGCGAAAATAAATCCGTTTACTAAATCTTCATCGTCGATCGAACAATTTGTCTAAAACACTATACACTATACAAACCTCAGTATACCGTCCATTCACTCGACACTCGGTCTATGGTCACGTTATGCGCATGTGATTTTATCTGCGCGGAAACGATTTAAACGTTTGTCACTGTAATTCGCATTACCCAAACGACCAATTCGTCCATCGGGCTAGTGAACTATTCGAGCGCCGATCGAACGCGTCAAGAAAAGTAAAATAAAATTAGAAATGAAAATCTTTTCAGGTCAGTCCGTCGACGTGCGCCGAACCAGAGTCTCGTGCGTTGGCCGCGTGCTCGTGCGCCGGGTCAGCGAGAAATGAACACCGTCCGCTACAGCCGTGGCCGCGGCCGCCGCCACTGCCACCGCTGGAACCGCGAGTGCGGCGGTAACGCGTGCACGTGTGTGTAGACCGCTAGCGCGTGTCAAGTCCGTGCACGAGCGCGGGACGTGCGTTGACGTGTGTGGTGGACGACGGAGAACGCGCGTGCCGAACGACCGGATCCGGTGGTCATCATGTCTCCGCCGCCGCTGCTGTCGCTGTTGTTGATCGTGCCGCCGTCGCTGCTGGTGCTGTTGTGCTGCACCGCGACCGCGGTCAGTTCTCAATTGGCGTGGACGCCCATTTACGTCGGCTCCAACAGTAAGTGTTAATTTTTTTTTTTTTTTTTTAAACTCTTAGTCGCGTGTCGTGCGACCATGAGCGGTCATCAGGGACAATAGGGGATAGGAGTGAGTTTAAATCGCTCGAAAACAGTTTTCAACAATCACACGATTGCCAAATATAAAATGTTATCGGCCCCGGAACTCGTGGGGAAAAAAATGTATTTAGTCTTCACTAGCCCCACATCATCCTATCCTACGACAATCTCTAAATCCAACGACAAAATCACGGATTAAATTTTTTTTTTTTTTTTTTGTAATTGAACAATACCGCTGCGATCGAACCGAATGATCTCATTACGTACGTAGTGGATACGACGATGGAAATTATACACGCGCTGTCTGAACAAACCCAAAGATATAAGTGTCTTTGTTCACGTGATTCATGACTTACCTCACTTGATGTGTAATATTACATTTTGGAGTATAAAGATCAAGACTATTATGTTTTTTTTTTTTTTGGTTTTTAAAAATAATATTTACATGCTTACACAAACATTCACATGCACTTGTGTTTTCGTTGTACCGTCCAATATACTCGTACATCTTGTATAAAATTGTGAAATCTTAACATACGGACATGTTAATGTAATAGACACGTATATTTCAAAAAAATAAATTAATATATTTTAGGTATTCATCATATATTTAAAATTCTTCTAATATTCTCCTTATTTAAGAAATTAAATTTAAGATAAACATTTAAATAAGAATTCAAACACATTTTATTTTGTAAAAATACTTCAATTCAAATCCGTAATAAACTAGGATAGTTTTAAAATATAAATTATAGTATATCATTTAATAAATTATAATAAAATGTATGCCTTTTTAAATATTAATAAATAAATAAAAATTTTAAATTTTAATTGAATTCATACTACAATAGCATATTTAAGTTGTTTATAAATCATTCAAATAATCCTAAATAATAACTAAAACAAAAAAAAAAAAGAAACAAAAAAATAAAAATTTTAAATGTTTGCATCTTCAATTAATTTATCTATAGAGTGGTCTATATGATAATAAGTCTATGGGGAATTAATTTTAAATTTAGGTTGTTTTTGTTGACTGTATAGTTAAATTGATTTTTTTTTGTGCTGATATTACAAAGGTTAGTCGAGTATGTGGATAGACAGAGAGGACATTCTAAGCATTGCCACCACGCCGTCAATTAAATTAAAAACAAAATAGGAACCATTACGTGGTAGTGGTAACAAGTTAATGCACTCAACCTGTCACCCTCATCGTCAAGTTAATTCCCGTCGTCTCGTACATCAGTTGGCACCACCCTTATTCCAGATATCATTGTAAATTATTAACAACAAGTCTGATAAGGGTTTTCATTACTATTTAAATATATCACAATCTCTTATTAACAACGATACTACTGAAAAGTTCTACATTTTTATTTACTTATATTTACTAAATTTATTTTATAGCATCATATGCTATTATGTATCGATTTGTATTAATATAATATGTCTGTAATATGTAATGTGGTTCATGGAAAATTCAGAATTTTATCAAATATCTAGATTTAAATAGATTAGTAGATTAATAGAAACATTTCTAAATGTGTCTAAAATCTTATTCGTTTATGGAATATACAATTTAAATCTATAATTATATTTTTTTAATCTAATTCATAGTTATACTACAGTTTTCAAAATTAAAATTAATTTACCTATGAGACTGTACAATATTAACTTAATTAAATATTCTACAATGTTTTGTTAAATATATTATCTCTCAAAGGATCATGAAACAAAAAAAAATTACTTTGGTTCTATTAATAGATAATTAATTAGCATAACTAACGGTGATCCTAAAATTTGTATACGTCTATTTATTGAGGCGTCAAAGCTCAAGCAGATAAGCATGTGACATTCCAAGATCACACAGCATGGTGGCGGCCAATACTTTTATACATATCATATAAATCTAATACAATTATTACATAAACACCAATCATTTACATTCATTTTTAATGACACTCCAATTATACTCACATCTCTGTTTCATTTGTACCGGGCTGAATATCAGCCTTATAAATATCGTTCACAGTGTGCTCAATACTATATGGACGTGTTAACATATTAAAATATTTGTAATACTCTGCTAAAAAAATAAATAAAAACTGCTATAAAACATATTTTCTTTGTGCGAGAATCCTTCTTATAATATATAAATAGGTACTTACTATTTCAACTTCGTATAAAATATGTAAGTAAATAATATATACTAACTTATGTTTTGAATTATACTAAATACAAAGTATACCAGACTGTCTATAATTGCCTTAACCTGTGGTATATTATCTAAATATCAAAGAATCAAGAATCAAATATCCACTTTTTATATTTGATTAATCTTTAAATGCAAATTTTATAAAACTTACCACTCCTTTATCTGTTGTAACTAATAATTTAAAACATTGATAGCATATATTTGCTTTATATGACTCTATAAGTATTATAAACTATAGATTTTATAAATTACTAAATAATTCACATCACATACAAGTCATAATTTACACTACCTGAGAAGTGAAAGAAACAATAATATAATTTTATAAAATAGAGGATGCCTCTCAATTGCCTACACAAAGCGCCGTGTAATATTTTCTAGGTACACAATGTGTATGTCATGAAACTTGGTATTAGATGATAGAATATATGTGATGCATAATCTTAAGCCAACAGGTAGAATAGCTTTTATAGAATTTAATTCAAAACATACCAATTATGAACCGTTATAAAGGTGTTATCGGGTTTCGACAAGTAACTTATCTTATTCTTAACTTTATTATCTTCAAAATAGCATTTGAAAGCAACAATATATAAAAATAATGACAATGTAATCACTGCATGGTTACACTATAGTTATAACATAATATTCATAAAAAAAAAAGTTTATACGAATAAAGTAGTTGTTTCGGTTTGTTTTAACAACAAATTTAGTTTTTTTTTTTTTAGAAAATAACTGAATACATTTTAATCGTATACCCCTAATAGCGTGCATTTTCATTTTTGATGATTATACATTTATTGGAGGATAATTAATTAATGCCAATTAAATTACAGATGTATTAAAACATATTTAGATCTTAATATTATTGGTGAAGATTTAAAATATCTTTATAAATATATATGCATTTTATGTTTATGGAAGACATAGTTAGTATGTAGTTAATATAATGTATAATAGTTAACCGTTAATGTTTGATAATCTATTATATATATATATATATATATATATATATATATATATATATATATAT